TCTCCAAAATTAACAATGCTGCTGTCCAAAGGTGTCCCCTGTGCTTATTCATTCAGAGTAGTGTCTCATTAATACATGAGGTCTATTACTGGCCAGATCACCAGGTGAAAACATATTAAAAAATGAAAATTACTGCAGCCAACACATCTAATGATTGGTAGGCTACAATATATGCCTTTTTGTGTTTAATACCACTTTAACTGTATTTCAGTTTGTTTTTTTTTTTTTTTTTTTTTAATACTAGTATAGTATATGCTGCCAATTAACAATGTAACCTAAACATTATAGAGCCTTCAAAGTCATGCTTAAGAGTGACAGTGATCCTATGTGTAATGACAGTCTTTGTACTCTATTTTCTTTGTGGTGACTACAAAGACACACAATTGATCAAGTACAGTGTTTTCATACCAATTTTGTATGCATGCTGCAAAAACAAAACAAAGACACTTTCTTCATTATGCATAAAGCTCTACCCTCCACAAATGGAACACAATGGAATTTTGTTCATGGACACTATACTCTGTAGAATTCTCACACTAGTCTTCAGGGTTTCCCTGTTTATAGATCTACTGGCAAACTGCCTAAGGAAATTGAATATTGATTATTTAAGCCAGTGAACAGCTTCAAACACTGATTCAAAGCAGCTGTATGATAAACAGTCACACAGTGCACTGCTCTTTTCTTTCTAAGTTGCTTTTTCCCCACTTACAAACTTAGGAATGCTTTTTAAGTTGGATTTTTTATTCATACAGAACATCCAGTATAAATTCCTGTTGATACTTTCAGTACTGTAAACCAGGAACAATTACAACCTTTCTTCTTAAGGACACGTTTACACTTGCTTCAAAATGTAGCATCGGACACGCTTTTTTTTAAAGCACGCTAAATGCCGTTCAAAGCATCTGTCACTAAATAAAATGGTTAGCTTACAGTCCTGTTTAGATGTTGTGTTTCCTTTGCCTTGCTCCAACAATTATACCCTGTGTCGCTTTCTTGGTGCTTCAAAGCATCTTCAAAGCTTCCATAGAAGACTATGACAAAGCTCACTTACAGCACCTGCAGCATTTGGGAGGCTTGTATTCAGCTTTAGCTTCTCTTTATTTTGTAGGTATGTCCCAGGATGTACTGGTAAATCAACACGTGAACCAGAAAGACATCATCAACAGTCACTTCTGGTTCATGTTTATATATTCTGGGAGTGTCTGGTGCAGATGTCACATCTGGTGTGTAGCATGGAGCAGCAGGAAGATAAGCGGGGTCCAGACTGGAGTGGAGCAACTAGCAGATGGCACTGTGCTGTGCAACATGGGAATGTTATAATGGAAGGTGAGCGGTGACCGGAGCTAGAGGACTAGTGTCAGTGGATCAGCAGAGCTGGAAGGCCAAAGCAGGAGAAACTAGCAATGTCACACGTGGTGTGCAGTGTGGGAGCAATATAACGGGAGGTGAGCATGGACCAGAGAGAGAGGAGAATCCGCAAACCAGAGGATCAGCAGAGCTGGGGGTTACTACTGAGTGGAGGAACAACAGAGCAGGGTGTTACTAATGAGCAGGGGATCAGCAGTGCTGGGGGTTACTACTGAGTCGAGGAACAACAGAGCAGGGTGTTACTAATGAGCAGGGGATCAGCAGTGCTGGGGGTTACTACTGAATGGGGGAACAACAGAGCAGGGTGTTACTAATGAGCAGGGGATCAGCAGAGCTGGGGGTTACTACTGATTTTGGCATCAGCAGAGCTGGGGGTACTACTGAGCAGGGGATCTGCTGAATGACATAACTAATAAGCTCGGGATCTGCTGAATGAAGGTACCAATGAACTGGGGATCTGCAGAACAAGGGTACTAATGAACCCCTTGTAACTTGAAGTCACAGAATGTAGTTATCTTAGGACTTAAATATCCTTTTGTACTAACCAGATTTACAATCTGGCCTGTATACTACATTGAAGCTGGAATATTAAATGCCAGTGTACAATTAGTTATATGGGATGAATAGTGTAGTGCACCTCATAAGTGGCCGCTGGTGAACTGATTCTTTCCCCAAAGTTAAAACACACACATCATCTTCTTCGTTCTTCCACTGGCTCAAATGGAACAGGATAGTAGTGTCTTTTTTGAGGATTTTATTATAACATTGAATTTGGATGGGTTGAAGGGAGCATGGGATACCCCCAAAAAAAACAGCTGAAGCAAACAATTTGAGGACTCCGTCTCTATCTTGCTGAGCTGCACAAAATATCCCAAGGATCTCTAATCCTGACAGGTGACCAGGGTCATCTAATCACCTCATAGAGGATTTCTCCAGCAGGACTGAACCCAGGAACTTACTCTCCTTGCCTCAGGCCTCAGACTATTTATGGACACCCCCTCCACCTCCTGGACACACCTTGCCAGGGAATGGCTAGACTTCCCATAAATATTCAGGCTGCTCACTCTTTTCTTTCTCCCATTCTAACTCTAGAATACAGGGGGAAACAATTAGACCAGCGGCCTTTGTGACACTGAGCAGGCATGAACAATCAACCCTTGCTGCACTGATTACAGAGGAGCCGACTAAATTTACCTAACAACCTGCACTAATCTACAATAGGATGTCATCAAAGGTAATACTGTAAGCATTTCTGTAAACATGGTTTTTTTTTTTTTTCAAGTCCCTCCTGAGGTTGCTCTTGATCCTTAACCTGGACAGTTAGGATTTTTTTTTCACTGAATCAATAATGCACTTTTCTGGAAAATTATGCTGTACCATAGCAAAAGTTCAGTGCATACTGATATAAAATAAAATGCTAAATGGATCTCCTTTGAGAAAAAGACAGGCCTAATCAAAGTAATAATATATGAGGTGTATTGACTCTGTGGAGGTGGCATCAGTAAGCACTTAAAAAGACAGGAAAACCAGTGAGCGTGAGATTGATACAGAAGTTTATCAGCAGGGATAACACATTATCATGTGAACCAATTCCCCTTCAGATCACTACACACTCTGCTGGGTTGTGAATCACTGCATGAGCTCACATATGACTGAAACAGACTTTATAAATCACAACTTCTGGATATGTTTCTGTCACCTTGGGGAGCAGTTTAAATTTTTATTTCTAGAGGGATTTGTATTTTCTTATTTAGAAATGTTATTTTTTTTCTATTTAGCTTGGTGATTTCTAAAACCTTATCACACTATAATTATTAAAGGAGAAGTAAAGCCATGGCTTTTTTAGCTATACTTCTCCTATGGATCACAGGAGTACAGTTAAAGCCCACTGTAGGCTGATGTCACCCAGCCGGTCAAGGCTCAGGAAACATCCCAACTTTAACATCCCTGGCGGTCTAACTAATCAATATTTTTGAATTGCAAAGCGGTACATTGTTTTGCATGGAAATTTGTTGTTTTATATTGTAGGCCTGTAATTCTAAGGTATAACTCACTTAAATCTGTCCAAACAAGAGTCTAGTAAACATCCCGCGTATGAAAGTTTGAAACACGAAATCATAAATTATAATATAATAAATAATTATAAAAAATAGTGATATAATAATAAATTTAATTCAATAATGTAATCAAACCAAAAACACTGAAACTTGAAATAGAGTACCAAGTTCGCACATCACTGAACTCAGTCGCAGAATCGTTTTCAGTGTCTGATGACAAATTTCCCCATGAATCATTATCACTCAATTCTGCAAGTGGTTCTAGTTTACTATCGCTGTTCTCTAGCTGGTCTAACACCACTTTTTACCTAAAGGGACGCTTTTTGGATGCCATGGACATTTCTCATTTTCCAGGCAGAAAGAACAGTAAAAGTGCAGGCAGGGCACAGGACAAAGCACTAGGGACAAAATGTATGTGAAATGGTTTGATACAGTAATGTAATCCTAACAGATTACAATGTATTGTGTGTATGTCATATTTTTACTTTTTTGAATCTCCCGCCAGTTCTCCCCCCCTGCGTCCCAACGCTCGCAGGGAACAGAACCCAGAAGATGGATGCCTGCATCTGCCAGAGGACACAGAGGGAGGACATCATGGGATCACAGGACAAGGTAAGGATCGAGGGATCGGAGGAGGAGCACTATAGTGTAATCCCGGGTTACTGATTTTGGTACAATAAATACCACATTCGGGATTACCGCTAGGAAGGTTAAAGTCAGGATCCACCCAGATGCCTGGATTGGCAGCTGGCTTAGCTTCTCAGTGAGCCCCTAAGAGCCTGAGCCAGCCCCTCTGCCCCTTCCACAGCCCAGCGCTCCAGTGAGCACTGGAGGGGCAGAGAAGAGGGCCAGTGACTGACAGTCACTGCTCTCTGCTCAGAGTGGAAGGGAAAACTGAGCAATCTTTGATTGCTAAGTTCTCAGTACAGAGCTGGCAGGGGACAGATGCAGCATTGGATCGATGCTGCAGCCTTGGTTAGTATAAATGTTTTTTTTTAACCCCAGACTTCTCTTTTGGCTCCATGCACACTGGGCATTTTAATAACGCTGGTAACGTTAGCTGTGCAAAGCTACGTTAAAAACTTGAGTTTTTCAGCTTTTTTTTGTGTTTTTGTGTTAGCGTTTAGCCGCGTTTTTTCATGTTTGGATTTTTTAGAGGTTTTTTTTTGCCCTCCCAAATTTTTTTTTTCATCAAAAAAAGTGAAAAAATGCTGGTTTGCCGTGATTTACTGCGTTTTTCAGCGTTAGAATGTTTTTACAGCTAAAAACTCCTGTAGAAACCCACTTTCTGGGTTCTGGGTTTTTTTTTTTTCCAGCCAAAAAATGCCCCTACCAAAACAAACGTTGATTACAGTCTATGTGTGCATGGACACATAGGATAACATGCTGGGGGGTTTACTGACTGTAGAAAGCCAAAAACAGCAGCTGTAAAAACGTCTAGTGTGCATGAGGACTTTAACCACCACCCGCCCGCCATATAAGGAAATGACAGGCGCAAGGCAGTTCTCTTGTTCTGGAAGGACGTCATATGACGTCCTCCCATTCTAACCGCGCATGCGCAGCTCCGGGAGCACACAGCGCAGCAATCGGCGGTGCGCTGTGTCCCTCGGACACAGTGGATCACCAATCAACGGAAAGAGCTGAAGATTTCGACTCGGTCATGTGATCAGCTGTGTCCAATCACAGCTGATCTCATGTAAATAGGGAAATGCTGGTTATCAGCATTTCTCTCTTCACGAGCTGTCACGCTGACAGCTCGAGAGGAGAGCTGGTAATCGGCATTCCTTGGAGGGGACATGTACACTGATCACCAGGGCACTGATGATCAGTGTGCCCTGATGATCAGTGTAGCCCCAGCAGTGCCACCTGTCAGTGTCCATCAATGCCAGCTGTCAGTGCTCATCAGTGCCACCTGCCAGTGCCCATCAGTGCCACATCATCAATGCCACATATCAGTGCCTACCAGTGCACATCAATGCCACTTATCAGTGCTCATCTGAGCTGCCTTTCAGTGTCACCTATCAGTGCCAGTCAGTGCCACCTATCAATGCCAGTCAGTGCCACCTTTCAGTGCTGCCAATTATTGCCACCTATCAGTGCCACCTATCAGTGCCAGTCAGTGCTGCCTATCAGTGCCACCTAACAGTGCCAGTCAGTGCCACCTAACAGTGCGCATCAGTGCCGCCTACCAGTGCCCGTCAGTGCCGCCTATCAGTGCCACCTAACAGTGCCACCTAACATTTATGAGTGCTGCCTTTCAGTGCCCATCAGTGATGCCTGTCAATGCCCATCAGTGCCACCTACCAGTGCCTCCTCATCAGTGCCCATCAGTGCCACCTATCAGTGCCCATCACTGCAGCCTCATAAGCGCATATCAGTGAAGTAGAAAAATTACTTATTTACAAAATTTTAAAACAAAAACTAAGAAAAAACTATTTTTTTCAAAATTTTCAGTTGTTTTTGGTTTGTTTAGCAAAAAATAAAAATCCCAGAGGTGATTAAATACCGCCAAAAGAAAGCTCTATCTGTCTAAAAAAAATGATAAAATTTCATATGGGTACAGTGTTGCACGACCGCGCAATTGTCATTCAAAGTGCGAAAGAGCTGAAAGCTGAAAATTGGCCTGGGCAGGAAGGGGGTATAAGTTTAGGCAAGTGGTTAAATGCACAGGTCCCATTTTTCATTGTTCTCAGTAAGGGGTTGATTTACTAAGAATAAGGTGAAGCAATAGACAAAATTATACCTAATTGAAACAATTAAGACCTTGCCATGGTGAACGAAAAAGCAACTTCAAAAAGGAAAATTACTTTTAGTAAATGTCAAATTGGCATAGTCACATTTACATAAAAGGCAATGCTAAACTTGGTCCCTTGAGAGCATAGGAGCACAGGATTAAGCCAGTATCCAATTTCTGTGAGTGTGCGTGTGTGTTTAAAAAGAAACAATTGTCAGGTGTGATTTGTTGTTTGGCTTCTTTTGATGCTAATTCTATTATTAATTGTCTTTTTTGTTTTGTAGTGTTTTTTTACATGTTCTGCAAACAAATGCATTGTTTAATGAATGTTACAGTTAATGTTAGAGTAATGCATACTATTTTCTAATGCTACAGTTGCAAGAAAAAGTATGTGAACCCCTTGGGATTACGTGGAGTTTTGCATGAATTGGGCATAAAATGTGCTCTGAACGTCATCTAAGTCACAACAATAGAAGAACACAGTCTGCTGAACATAATACTACACAAACATTAGACGTTGCCAGGGTTTAATTGCACATAACATGTAAACATTCACAGTGCAGGGAGGAAAAAGTATGTGAGGCCCTAGCTTAATGACTTCTCCCAGAGCTAATTGGAGCCAGGAGTGAGCCAACCTTGACTCCAATCAGTGTGATGATATTGGATGTGTTGCTGACAGCTGTCCTGCCCTTAAAAACACACACCTGTTTTGGGTTTACTGGTTTCAAGAAGCACTGTCTGATGTGAACCATGCCTCGCAGAAACTAGCTGTCTGAAGACCTACCATCAAGAATTGTTGACTTGCATGAAGCTGGAAAGGGTTACAAAAGTATCTCCTTGAGCCTTGATGTTCATGTGTCCATGGTAAGACAGACTGTCTACAAATGGAGAAAGTTTAGCACTGTTGCTACTCTCCCTAGGCGTGGTCGTCCTGTAAAAATGACTGCAAGAGCACAGCGCAGAATGCTGCATGAGGTAAAGAAGAATCCCAGAGTGTCAGCTAAAGACCTACAGAAATCTCTGGCACATGCTAACATTTTTGTTGACACATCTACAATAAGGAAAACATTAAACAAGAATGGAGTACATGGGAGGACACCACGGAGGAAGCCATTGCTGTCCAAAAAGAATATTGCAGCACATTTAAAGTTTGCAAAAGAGCACCTGGATGTTCCACAGCACTACTGGCAAAATATACTGTGGACAGATGAAACCAAGATTGAGTTGTTTGGGAAGAACACACAACACTATGTGTGGAGAAAAAAAGGCATGGCACACCAACATCAAAACCTCATCCCCACTGTGAAACATGGCGGAGGGAGCATCATGGTTTGGGGCTGCTTTGCTGCCTCAGGGCCTGGACGGATTGTTGTCATTGATGGGAAAATCAATTCCAGAGTTTATCAAGACATTTTGCAGGAAAACGTACGACCATCTGTCCGCCAACTGAAGCTCCGCAGAGGATGGGTGATGCAACAGGACAATGACCCAAAGCATACAAATCATTCAACAAAATAATGGCTGCAACAGCACAGAATACGCCTTCTGGAGTGGCCCAGTCAGAGTCCTGACCTCAACCCCATTGAAATGCTGTGGCATGACCTTAAGAGGGCGATTCACACCAGACATCCCAAGAATATTGCTACGCTGAAACAGTTTTGTGAAGAGGAGTGCTCCAAAATGACTCCAGATCGTTGTGCAGGTCTGATCGCAACTACAGGAAACATTTGGTTGAGGCTATTGCTGCCAAAGGAGGGTCAACCAGTTATTAAGTCCAAAGGTTCACATACTTTTTCCTCCCTGCACTGTGAATGTTTACATGTTATGTGCAATTAAACCATGGCAACATCTAATGTTTGTGTAGTATTATGCTCAGCAGACTGTGTTCTTCTATTGTTGTGACTTAGATGATGTTCAGAGAACATTTTATGCCCAATTCATGCAAAACTCCACGTAATGCCAAGGGGTTCACATACTTTTTCTTGCAACTGTACATATATATCTAAAAATTACAGTTATATCAAGAATAATTTTTCATGTCTAGTTCCAATTTTCTTATAATATATACTTAAAATTATATATCTTAATTCTTGAACAATGGTACTACTATATATTCTAGATACCCCTATGGTCAGCACGGTGGCTGGTTAGCACTTCTGCTTAGTAGCAATAGGGTTGCTGGCTCATATCTCAACCATGGCACTAAATGCACAGAGTTTGCATGCTCCACCCGCCTGCCTGGGTTTCTTCCCACACTCCAAAGACATGCTGGTTGTTGTTTTGGCTTCTGCTTAAGATTGTCCCTAGTATACAAATGTGAGTTAGGGACCTTAGATTGTACACTTCTTGAAGGCAGGGCCTGATATGAATGTACAGTATATATGTAAAGCACTATGTAAATTGACAGCACTACATAAGTACCTGAACTAATTGTGTGTGTGGGGGGGGGGGGGGTCGCTCTTCCACCCCTCTTTCCTGGCTTGCAGGACTGTATGCTCAGATAAGAGTGTGTTAGTGATTTTGAGAGGGAAGCCACACAATTTTTTTTTCTTTTGGCCATGGGGTTCCCCTTCAAATCCATGACAGTTATATCTCTGTTATATGAAAAAAAAATGTAATGTGTAATTTGAATTTTCTTATAACATCTACTAAGTGTATATCTCAATTCTTGAATCATGGTACTACTATATATTCTAGGTAATGTTATGGGCAGCATAATGGCTTGACCTTCTACCTAGCAACACTAGGGTCATCAGTTCAGATCCCAACCAGGGTACCATGTGCCTGACGTTTGCATGTTCTCCCTGTGCCTTTGTGGGTTTTTTCCCACACTCAAAAGACATGCTGGTAGGTTGATTACACTAGCATATATGAATGTGAGCTCTTTGAGGGTAGGGATGAGCTCATAGAGGAGTATAATTTCTTCTTTCCCTAAGCAAAACCTGCAATGGACATCAGAGTCCTGCCTGTATGCACATGGTGCCAAAAAGCCATGACTGGTGCAGGCGCTTGGTTGTGTCCCTCCTTTCTTTCCAGAAGGCTCTGGCAAACATAGCCAGCCACAACAGCAGTGCCTTCTCCTCTTCACCAATGATTGCAAGAAGTGAGGCAGAGGTGGCCGCTGGCGCAAATAAATAGGGGCAATTGACACCTCTGGTGTTTTTGAGTTTGGTGACACCTGCCTCCAGCTGCTGTGTGTTTACTTTGTTCTTATATCTCTGGGTGCATGTAAACATTCTTCTGCAAATGTGATGATGCAATTCCGGTTCGGGAGCTGGTCCTGAGACCATTTGTGTGTGATAACTCATTTTTATGCATGATCATGGCTCCCACACATGCAAATAGATATTCTTTTGTGTGCAATACATTTATGAAAACTATTTGACTTTTTTTTTCAAATTGATTTGCGTTCCTCAGATTGCAACTGGTGAAGTAAAAAAAAAAAAAAACACAACACTCAGGTTGACATGTTAAAGACCTATCCACCAGCTGAATTCAATACTCCCTGAAATTCAGCTTTAGACCTGTTAAAGGTTTGCTTATTTTGGGAGGGAGTTATTTAGTACCTTGCATGCGTGCAGAATAAAATGTTTATTTTGTAGACTATTATTTGTATGGATGTTAATACATTCCACTTAAGAAAAAAAAGGCTTATTGATCCAACAAATAAAGAAATAGTTCACTATTCTACATTTATTTTGACAGCAGCAACACAATTAGGTACATTAATTTGCTTGTGTAAAAAGAATCAACAGTATTCATGGTGCTACAGTTTGCACAGCGCTTTTCATAATAGGGTTAGAAGGGTCCTGCTCATAAGAGCTTAAAGTCTAAAACATTCACAGTGTACAGAAGGGAACAAAATAAGGCTAATATTAACAAGGCCACACATTTTAGGAAATAACAAGTCTCACCACCCCACCCAGCCCATGCAAGATTCACAAAAAAACACAGACACAAAATCCACAACATAGCGCCAACACCCCCTTTCAGTTTCCACACACATACATTTATGATTATGGTAAACAGGAATCTGTATTTCTGTCAATATTAGTAAGCAAACTACTTTATATCAAAGTTAGGAGTTGTAAGAGTAGAATAACTGACATTTATTAATTAATCAGTAGATGTTTACAAACCATAAAACCATAGTCAGACTGAAAAAATACACACAAAATTGAAGCCGTGTCCACAAAAACCCACTTTTGAGGGTCAAATGCACAACAATTACAGCAAACACTCAAAGCAAACATCAAACATGAGATTTTGATCATTATGCACAATATTTCCCCTTACTCCCCCCAAAAAATGCTTCTCAGGCCAAGCAAACCCCACTATT